CACCCTTTTTTGAGGAATAAAGTAAAAGGAAGGTAAATAGGTAAAAGGAAGGATATGCTCAAGGACTGGAAGCACTTTGTATTAAAATGCATTTTCCCCAAAGAGTGGACCTTGTTTTCATTGCAAGGTGAATGCAGTATAAACTCCTGCTTCGCCCTGCCCAACAATTTATCTATACAAATAACTTCCAAATGGACATTATGCTTGTGGAATTCATTTTCATATCATCAGCAGTACCCAAGCCCCTGATGTTTATTCACACTGTTTTCAGAGAGTCACTGACTCACATCAAAGGCCGCTTCACACTTGAGCCGGGACAATTGTGTTTGCCAGAGCTATGCCAGTATTACTCTGGTGTTTCTTACAGGAAATATGTAAAAGGAAAACAAACTTCCTAAATGCTTGAGGTCACACACTTGGTACTTCTGATTGGCCACAGACCCTAGCTCTCAGTCCAAAGACACAAGTTTATCCTTCATACTTTATGTATTTCCTACAGCTTTAATATCATTGTTGCAAAATCTGTGAAGTAGCTCCAAGGACCACATTATACTAGCAGGGATGGATGCTTCACAAAGAGCTGCTGTACCCTTTACAGGCATGTAGGCCAAAGGAACTGCAAAAGGGAAAAAAATGGTAGTTTGTACAAAGTGATTTCTACCACCTGCCTCTAGCCACTCTGTGGGAACACAGAATGGAATAACGTACCATATCATATCAATATTGCTTAAATAAGATCTGCAATCTCCCAGCATGTTGGTGCTTCAGTGAACATGGAAAGCATTCCATGTCAAACCAAAAGGGTTTTTTGTTAGTTGAATTGGGGAAGTACTAGTCTGTTCTCACGGTCTTAAACATTTCTTGATAATGATAATGGTATTCTTTGAAAGAGGTCAATAAAAGTGCCTCTCTTTCTTAGTGGAGACTGCCTTTTTAATAAGAGCTGTAACTGGGAGTCATGATACTCAGGAAAGGGAAAGCTGGGTTAAGTTAGATATGCACTCTGGTCTTTAGTAAAGATGATTTCAACAAGTTTTAAAGAACTATTGGAAGCAATGGGCTGAAATACTTGAGGAAGGGGCTTCCGGGTTGGCGCCATCGCCGAATGGCGGACTCCCTCCGAGCTCCGGAGGGAGTCTGCTCGGCAGGGGCTGGGTCCTACCGCGCCGGCGACGCGGGGACCCTTAAAAACCACGGGCACGGAGTCCGTGGACATGGGTGACTCGGCTTGCACCATTAGCGCCCTCCCGACTCGTGAAGGAGCCTTTTAAAGGCTTCGGATCGGGTGCCGGGAGCGGCGTGGTGCTTTGAGTCCTCTGCTTTCCTGCCGAGCGCAGCCGCATGCCATTCGACGGAGAGCGCTGACTTCTTCCATTGAAAATTTGGACTATTAACAACAACCCGTGAGTAATTGGGAAACCGGGTTCAAAATTTCGGATTTGGCACGAGCGGGGCGATTTAAAAGGAAGTCAATCCCCCCCCCTACTGTAAGCATTCCAAAACAAGGACTGGGTAACCAAGGTCCAAAGGGAAGTATATTCTTGATAAAAACCATTAATTTCACGATGGGAAATTATAAGAACTGTGCTGGAGGAGAAGAGTGGAGGGTGAGAAGAAAATTGCAACCCCCCCCCTGGGAACCGGGGCGATTCGTGGAGCCTGGTGAAGAGAGACGGAGACTTTGACAGCTGTCAAAGTGGCTGTCAAAGTTGGAGAATATAAAGAGGACTTTGTTATGAGGACTTTGCCGGTTAATTTTGCTACAATTTGCTACAATATGGATATAAACTGTTGGAAAATAAGCAACAATTTGACTTTTGGATTAGAGGATACAAAGTTATTACAATCCCCCCGAGAGGGGTTTCGGGATATTACAAGAACGGTCGTAAGTGGAAAAATACTCTGGGATTCGCACAGGACTTGTTATCTTTTGGGAAAGCTGCAAAACTGAAATAGTATTTTGTCTACAGAGGTATTTACATTAAAGGAGACAATAGAATTTTCTATTGAAGAAAGGAAGGGACTGGACGTAAGTTTTTGTTCCTGAATAACAAACCTCTGCAGAGATACCAGATTTCTGAATTAGAAAGTTTTAGCAGCTGAACAGGACAAGAAACCTGAGAAAGTGAGGAAAAGAAGAACAAAGGACTGATTACGACACGGAAAGAACAACGGGAGGAGTGGTAAAGATCAAGGAAATTAAAGGCCTTTGTTAGATTGGACACTTGAAGTTACATATTATTAATAAATTAAAAGAAAACCGGCAAGATGGAATCGGGGAGAAATTTGGTCATGAATTGAGACTTCCAAGCTGATAATGCATAGACTGATGGATATGGGGAATTCAAACCGGGAAGGGGGAGATTTGAAATCCAAAGGCTGTGTAACCATCTTTTGAATTTTTCTATATCTTTTATTTTTATTTTTTACATAACTTACGCATGTCATTTTATTTTGATTGGACGTGTTTAAAAAAGGGAATTCGTGGAAGGAACTGGGGTGGATCTTGGGGAAAATCTTTTTCTTTTCTTGTTAATGATGTGGGACGGTGGTAAGATTTGTACAATTCAATTTGGATAGTGGGTTAAACAAATTAAGCTTCAAATTGGGAGTGAGAGCTTGTAGAACTAAATTAAGGAAAGGGGAATACAGTCGGGGGGGGGGGCCCAGTCCCAGAAAGTAGGCAATGAAAGTAAGGTTTTTAAATATCTTTTTTTCTTTTTCTTTTTTTCTTTGTATTTTTATATTTTTGGAAACTTTAATAAATATGATTTAAAAAAAAAAATGAAATACTTGAGGAAGGAGTTCAAGATGGGCAGGAATTTTTTTAAAGTGAGATGCTGAAAAGCAAAACTGCAAACCATTCCAGTGAGCAAAGAAAACTGGAGGCACCTAAAGAAGCTGGAGGGACGTGGGTGGCGCTGTGGGTTAAACCACAGAGCCTAGGACTTGCCAATCAGAAGGTCGGTGGTTCGAATCCCCGCGACGGGGTGAGCTCCCGTTGCTCGGTCCCTGCTCCTGCCAACCTAGCAGTTCGAAAGCACGTCAAAGTGCAAGTAGATAAATAGGTACTGCTCTGGCGGGAAGGTAAACGGCGTTTCCGTGTGCTGCTCTGGTTCGCCAGAAGCGGCTTAGTCATGCTGGCAACATGACCCGGAAGCTGTACGCCGGCTCCCTCGGTCAATAAAGCGAGATGAGCGCCACAACCCCAGAGTCGGTCACGACTGGACCTAATGGTCAGGGGTCCCTTTACCTTTAAAGAAGCTGGAGTGGAGGAACAAGCAGGTCTCGAACTCAGATTTAAAGTAGCATAAATACGAAGTAGGAGGCATAAACCACCAAGGCCAGATGAGCAGCCAGAGCTTGGAAAGTGCCAGGAGGGCTAAAGCATAGAATAAACCCAAGGGCTCCCACAAGATGTGTAAAATGAAAAGGGTTTTGTTTCTTAAAGAGCAAGATGAAGCACAAGGAGCGGTAAGTTTGCTGCATAGAGGATAGAGAAATGTTAAGGCGTGACAGAAGACATAACTGCTAGACTCCTGCTATGGCTCAGCCTTTTCCTACAAGGGTAATTGTGCTTGACCTGGCAAAAAAGTAGACCAAATGATGAAGGGAGGGAGTTATAAGCCACGTTAGGTAAAGAGATGGTATGGGAGCAGCCAGACACGCTAAAAAGTCTTCTGAGTCTCACAAATTGCATACTAGGACACTAAATGAATTTACAGAAGCAATCTCAGAGCTTCTGTCTAGATTTTTTCAAAGATTCTTGGAGAACAGGTGGTGATATGAGGCTGAAGACAGAGAAACGTTCCCACCTTCAAAGAAAGGGGGTTCTAGACAAATATTGACCAGTTGGCTGAACACCAATATGCCGAAAGGCAAACCTAGGGTCCCTGTGCCCTTGGCAAGGAGTTGTATCAGCGCCCCCTTGAAAAAATCACTTTACTGCAATATCCACATTAGAAATTAGTACATTTTATGCAATCCAAGAACTTGAAGTATCCAGAGTAAGGGTGAGGCAAGGAGGAAGGGCAGGGAGAAATGCATGTCTTTGTACTGCAGTGCAAGAAAGACTGGAAGCTTCTCCCACATTTGATCTCACCATGACAGCAATGGTGTGTTGCCACACACATGTACGTCACACACTCCACAGTCTTCGGCCATAGTCTTTGGCCACCTTGCCATTTCTCCTACTGCTCAGATTCCAACTCTTGTCTAAACTCACAACCTTACACAGATAACTTCAGACAGATTTCTGAGGCGATTTTTGAGGCCCTCGCTGGGCATGTGGCTCTGTGGAAAGATTTAGAACATCTGAAAGCAACCCTGTATTGGGAATTTTTTTATGTCAATGTTTCACAATTTCTTATGTGCTGTAAGTCACCCAGAGTGGCTGGGGAAACCCAGTCAGATGGGTGGGGTATAAATAATAAAATTATTATTAGTAGTAGTATTATTATTATTACTACTACTATTATTTAGAACAAATAATTAAACAGCCCTTCTGTGAGCATAGAGGGGGGAAATGATGTGATTGCGAAGAGTCAACCTTGGTTTCTCAATAGGAAGTCATACCAGACTAAACTTATTCCTCTTTCTTGACAGAATTTTTCTCCTGGTAGGTCAGAAGAAAAATTATTTAGGATAATTTAATTAGAACTTCATTTTAGTAAAAGCTGTTCAGACTCTGGAACAGGTTGCCTCATAAGTTGGCAAGTTGAGGTTTTTAAACAGAGGCTGGATGGCAACTTATCAGGCACTCTGTAGTAGTGTGTTTCCTACACTGGCAGGAGGTTGAACTAGATGATCTCTGAGTTACTTTCCAGCTTCTTTATTCAGTGACTACTCTGGCAGTAGCAGGAAAGGGAAATGATGTGATCATGCCTAGAGCACTCCTTAGGCCTTTTTGCAAGGAACTGCAGATGAGAGCCAAACTAGACACAATGTTAAATGTGTTACTACCTTTAACATGTACTTTAAAAATAGAATTTGCTGCTGCTGTCTATGGCCATACTACCCTGAACATACCTGATCTCATCTGATCTCAGAAGGTAAGGAAGGTCATGCTTGGTTAGTACTTGGATGGGGGAAAATAGCTGCTACTATTATTAGGGAGTAGTGGGGAGAGAATGGTTCAGCAGTGATTTCTCCTCCCACTTTTAAGAATTTTGAAAAATCCATTTAAAGTCATGTGTAGTTTTGGTCCAAGGGTCTCCAACATCTGGGAAACTGGATTCTTTTCCCAGATCCGCATGCAGATTCATCAGTTTTCCAATCCTCATATTAACTGCTGTGGAACAATGCCCAATAATTAATGTAACTAATTTTTGATCAACACTTAAAATATATATATTTCAAACTTGTGCTGACTCATTTTGATCAACAAAATTGGTATGTGAAAAGATGGGTTTTTGGATAAGTGTTGCCTTGCATCTGGATAGCTAAAACATACATTAGCATTATTATTTTTCAAAGTGCTCTGTAGATATAACCCTGAGGTTACAATTCTATATTCTAGGAGATTGAAACCTCAAGGTCCAAATGCAGCCCTCCAAGCATCTCTATCTGGCCCAAGGCACGTCCTCTTTTCCCAAGCCACACCCCTCGCCACTCTTGCTTACACCCTCCTTGAGTGGTTTTGCCTCTCTGGAATTTGTTCTTGAACTCTGATGTTTCTTTGCTTGTCTGGATGGAGGAGAAAGAGGGGTGTGTAGAAACTACTCTATTGTACAAAGGTTAAAATTTACATTTGTTACTCCACCCACTTTTGCATCTGGCAATGCCCATCTCTGGCCCACTGAAGGTTGCCTAGATGTGAATGTGGCCCTTGCGCTAGAAAACATTCCCTACCCCTGTTGTGCCCTTAAAGCAGAAATTTAAGTCCTACTGAACTTTATGTTGATGTTAGACAACTCAACACTGTTTTCATAAAGACATGTGGAAGCAAGACTTCCGTGGAATTTGTGTTTGGAATCTGAATGCAAGTTTAAAATAAGGATGAGTTACGGGACTTCTTTGGTGCTGAAGGCACCAAAAATAAAAAATTGCTGTGAAGTTCTAAGGGATAGACCCAAACACCTCATTTACTTGGAATGCTTCACTGGGACTTTTCACAGTGCACTGGTCTCTGCTACTTGGCTTAGACAAATTAAATTTAAGCCCACAAACACACCCCTTTATATTTAGCAGAGCTCCCCATAGAGGTTGGTATTCAGTGGGACACCTTGAGGTATGTGAAGCACATTCCTAAAGTGAAACGGAATCATTTCTGAGTAAATGCATTGATAGTCATCTCATTTGAAGCTGTTTCACTGCACTTACAAGACAAAAGAAGCTATACCTCATGCACATACAGGCAGTCTTTTCAACCGTTTGGGGAAGGTAACTGGAGAATCTGCAAACAAAAGGCAAAAAAAGTATACCCTATCCCAAATGGCTTGCAGTAAGGGAGAAAAGGCATATAAGCCTAGGCAAGTTCCAATTTAAAAGAGAGAGACAGAGAGGGGACAAATCAATGGATTTTGAAGGGAAAGCATTTAGACATAATGTAGCTTTCAGCACATTTATGATATGATGGCCATTAAAAATGCATGAAGATGAAAACACATAATCAATTAATTTAGTTGGTCAATACTAGGCTGAAAAGGGGCCTGTGCTGCCTTTTTCTTTTGGATAGCACTTCACTTTTCATTTACAAAGACCTAAATGAATGTATTTACAAACTAAAGTATCTGTACTAACAAGTCTCAAAATAGAAAGGACCAGGAACTTTTGGGCTTGTTCCTTGCATAGCTCCAATTAAACAAAAATGGAAACTTACAACATTTTGACAATGCCACTGATGAACAGTGTATATGCATTTTATAAAAATCACTCTCTCTCACACACTGCTTCATGAGTTATTTGAATAACAAAGAACAAACCAGAATATTGCAGAGGAAAGCCTATATGACTGCAGTACTACTGGGTTTTATTGTTTTTTAAAAATCTGTGATGTTAACCAAAATGTGATAATGGATGTTCTCAGGGGCCCCATATATAAACAATTTTATGGGGCAAAATTTTTACAGGGCAAAGTGGCAAACCTATACCTGTGTAATTACCAATGTCCTGTTTAAAGTATGTAATATGGAGACTTGCCAGAGGCTTTTGTAATTGTTCCCAGGCTGTTCTTCATTTCTCTGAAGGGTACGTCTTCAGCAAGAGCAACAGCAGAAATCTGATAAGGTGGTACTGGATTTAGTAATTAAAGATGTTTTAGAAATTATACTAAAAATAACTGCTGGTGTAATTTTGAGAGGAAAGATTGTGAAGAGTACATAACTATCATTTGCAAACAATGGCCTGTCCTGGAGTAGCTGATTGGCAGTTTGGGTAATTGATTTTTAAAAAAAGTTCACTGCAAGAATGCAACTTCTGTTTTAGGTTTTTTGTGCATGTCAGCCCTCAGCAATGCCTTCTTGATACATAATCACTGGAATGCATAACTTCTATCTAGGCACTGGAATTCCAGGAGAGGACATCCATCTTCAGAAAATATGGTATAAAACATGTACCTTAAAAAAAGTATAATTGTTCATATCATGGTGCTATAAATGATTGAAATGATATATTTTTTGCAAGCCAGGATTATGGTTCTTTATACATTAAAAAAAAACAAAAAACCAGCACATGATAAACGCTTCATAGAAGGTATCTTAGCCCAAGATGGCAGCTGATGATTAATGGCTGTATCATTTTTGGCTCTACTGCAGTGAGGCCTCAGGTCTGATGTGACAAACATACCCTTCGTCTGCAGCCAATCAGAAGATGTAAGCACATAGGCCCTGTCAGGTTGACATATCATTCCTACGACAATGTCAACGAGTATTAATGTTCAATTATCTGTCCTAGAAATAACCCTCGCCTTTATGCATTGTGTAACTGAGCACGTGGCACAGCGGTAATCCAAGGGACAAGGGCAGCAATGCCCGCAATAACCCAGTAGCTGTGAGTTGGCTTTCCAACATTGTGATGACACTGCCTTGCAGTACTGAATGGGGCATTTTTTAATTTCATTTTTAATCGATGTTTGAAGAACCTCAAAGACTCCCCCCCCCCCCCAATGCTGGCATGCCAGTAGCTTTTACAAGCTCATGAAGCATTTTCAAAAATACTATGTTCAGGCTCACAATTATGCAACCCTATAGTGCTATAAACCATCCATTATTTTGCAGTAAGTTTTTTATTTTCTATGCTCAGATGTGTATCATTTACCATCAAATAAAAACGACAAGAGCACCCTTTTCTTCTAGTGTTGCATCAAGATCAATTCAACTCCGCCCAGTAAACCTAAAGCAATATGTCCATGTGAAACATTATCACTTACATTGCTAAAGTGTGTGTGTGTGTAGTGGAAAGATTTTTAGAAGAGCAATAATTTGAGAAACATACCTGAGTGCATTACACCTGACATCTTTTACTGCTCTTCAAATATTAAAATTCTTGATTCTGGTAACTCCAAACCAGATGCAAATTTAGTTCCTAGATCAAAAGGCCTGGCAACACATGCTTTAAGTCTCTCAAATCAAGCTAGTGTCAGAACAGTTTTGATGCACAGAGGTTGCAGAATACAGTGATTTTTGTTACTATAGCACTACTGCCTTTAACTAACATTTCAGAAGTTATCACTTGCAAGTCTTCTAATACAACTAGCAATGAGGAGCAGCGAGAAAAGAGAACTGTGGGATAATGTGCCAATTCTGAGATAAAGCCTTCCGCATAAGCTGTTTGTTTAGACAATCACCCAACCACAGTACATGTTTAAAGAATCCAGGTGCATGCCTCTCTATACATTCTTCCTACTTCAATTCCCACCCGTTTCTATAGAAACAAAAACCTTCTGTTTTCAAAAACCACCAATTGTAAAAAGGATAAAAATGTTTCCTAAAAGGTCAGTTTAAGAACTTCATTCAAAGCGCAATCGCTATTGATTTAAATAGGACCTCTCCTTCCATGTATGTTCTCAGCCTTTGGGTATAATGTACTCCCTATTTATTTTGCTGCATAGCCATATTTACTTCAACTGGTCTACGGAAGTGTAATTGGTGAGTTACTCAAATCTTTAATTTTCAAGGCACACTGGAAATATTTCTTTTCTGCCAGAAAGGATAAAACTTCTTTCTATTAAATATACGATGTGCATCAATGTAAATAACATTATAACAGCACCTCACATTCACAATAAAATTGTTGCCTCTCAAATAAAAGACTTCTACTTAAAATGCTGAAAGACACACACACACACACACACACACACACACACACACACACACAATCACTCTAGAACTACAGCCCAGTTCTACAGAATTATTAAGATTGAAACAGGAAGACTCCCTAATTAAATATAGCTTACATTGATAATAATGTGTTTTAGTCAATATATCTTACACTGATAATGTGTTTTAGTCAATTAATAATTTCATTGATGGATTAAATCTGCATAAATTTACACACACAAAAGAGTCTCTAAGGGAAAGAATGCACATTTTGCTTTTACATTACACATGTATGTATTGTAGCAGGCATCATCTTAGAAGAAGCTTTCCTTTTTCTCTTACGCAGGAGAGAATTTGCATAAATACTTGTATTACAAATAAACGTAAAAAGAAAGAAAGCTGCCAACCGATCAATTGGGACACATTTTAGTTGATTAAAAATGTTTTGGATGTATTTATCTAAGATTCTAACCCAATAATTGAATAAATGTTGCAGCTGTATCAAATAGAAAATTCATTGCCACTTAGAAAAGAAGCCGCTTTAGTTACTTTCTAAAACTGCAATGGAAGTTTTTAAATAGAAGCTTAGTAAATCACCTGGGTTTTTTTTCTTTTCTTATTCAAGGCCAAAGTAACTTGCTTGAATGTATTCAAAATCAATTTTTCCACTCTTTTCCTCTGATAATTCACCCTACCGTTTACCCAATCATTTTATGTAGGTGGAAGTGATGAATGTTGCTGAGTGCCAGTGGATTTTGGTCCAAGATGAATACCCCCAAGGAGCAACTTACACAGAGTCTCAGACTCCTGTCAGCCATGTAATTGATGATGTTTTCACTGTGAGGGATGGG